GCGGAGGGCACAGGGCAGAGGGCGCAGGGGGGAGGGGGAGGGCGCAGGGCGGAGGGCGCAGGGCGGGCAGCTGTGCCCACAGCGCCTTCCGTCCTGCGGGGCCGGGAAAGTCAGGCCAGGTCAGGCCAGCACTCCAGGCTCCTGGGAGGGGCTGCTTCTGAGGACAAGTCCCGCTGGCGGAAGCAGCTCGGCAGGACCGACGCCCCGGAGTGCCAGGGACACGTGGTAGCCAGAGGTCACCGGGGGTGCTGCGAGCTGGGGGAGCTAAATTCATGTGAGGGCTCCCTGTGCCCCGCCTGGATGCCCAGTGCTACGGGCAGTGCCCTCCCTCCCAGGGCCCAGGTACCCCGAGGGCACCCTGACCCCCCAGAAATGAAGGTGAGCTGAGGAGGGGACTCTGGCTGCTGAGGAGGGGGCTCTCACCCGCCCGCTGCCCGCGTGCCTGCAGGTGCCCCTCCCAGGGGATGTGCGGGGGCGGGGGGCGTGGTGAGGAGAGCTCGGGCTCCCGGGGTCCCAGGCTGGCCCCTCACGGTGGCTTCTCTCCGTCGGAGCCGCAGGGGCTGGGAGACCAGCCGGACCCTGCCCTGACCCCAGGCCTCCCCTCCCCAGAGACCACAGGGGGCCCCATGGTCTGTCCCCTCTGTCCCTGGCCCACACCCAGGGCCGCCTGGTGCCCCCAGGCCCGGCTGCCTCGGGCTGTGCGTTGGGAGCGCGGAGCTCGCCTCTCAGTGCCTGCGAGTCCGGGAGTGCAGCGCAGTCACAGTGTTTACGGGGCGGAGCCGGCAGCCTCCGGTCCAGCAGGCCTGCGGGCGGCTCTCATTAATGGGCACATTAACGGGGTGATTGACGGGGTGCCAGCTGGATGGGCGAGGCCTCGGTAACTGACGGCCTCGAGGAGAACGGCGCGTCCCATCCTGTCCCCGTCCCTCTCTGTCCCTCCATGCAGCGCCCGCCGCGCCCGGGCCCATGTGGCCCCGTGGCCTCGCGCACCCAGCGCGGGAGGAGCCGCACAGTCTGGGTGGGGCTCTGGGCCCCAGGACCCAGGGGGGAGCCCCGATGCCACCCTCCCTTGCTGGTAATTGGGGGCGCGGGGTGGGAGGTCGGGCTGTGGGGCTTCGCCAGCCCCTGGCCCTGCACTTCGGGTACAGCATGGACCCCAGGCCCGCCCTCAGGAAAGTTCCGGGAGGGTCTGCCTCAGTCGCCCTGTCCTGCCCCTGCCACCCCAGATGGAGGAGCTGTGGGCTGCTCCTGAGCGTGGGGGTGAGCCCGCTGCTGGGCGAGGGGGCTGGCCTGGTGGTCCTCGGCGACCTCGGGGTCCTGCCCCCTGTGGGCCAGGCCGGGGGCAGTGGGCAGCTCCGGGCTCCCAGGCAGGGGTGCGCTGGCCCGGGCACGCGGGTCCCACTGGGCAGCCCACCCCGCACGTGTCCCCCGTACATGTCCCCGCACATGGGCTGCACCTGCGTGTCCAGGAGGGAGGCCTTGGACAGGCGTCTGGGTAGGGCGGGAGCTGTAAGACCCAGCGGGGCTGCTGCTCCTCTGGGGTCCCGGTGCCTGGAACCCCAACAACCCGGAGCTGGGCAGCCCGCGACTGTGGGGTCCGCTCGCTGCCCCCCACGCCAGCTCCGCCTCAGAAGGGCCTGGGAAACGCGGGGCGGGCGCCGGGGCCCCTCGAGGCCTGAGCTGCGGGGCCTGGGAGCCCTGCTGTGAACTCCCGATTTCATTCATTTCGTTATCTCACCCACACGCTGTCGCAGAGATAACCTCGGCGTCCGCAGGTCCCTGGGGAATCGGACGGGGTGGGGGGTGGACAGGGCAGGTTGCGGGGGGGAGCCCTGCTGCCGCTCTGACCGGCCGGGTGGAGTCACACCGGACAGAGATGTCAGGGTCACAGCGGCTCGGTCGCAGGGCGCGCAGGCTTCCAGGCGGCCGCCCTCCAGGTGGCCTTCGCTGCTCCTCTGTGTCTGTGATCTGCACGGCGGAGGGCCTGTGCGGCCGGGACACGCCTGGACGGCGGCCACTTAATGGGGAGCGTGGTGGCAGCTCAGGTCCAGGGGCGACACCCCCACTGTGGCCAGAGAGGCCGGATGTGGGTGAGGGCGGCCCGGGTCAGCTCTGGACGCAGCTCCTGCTAGAGTCTGGGCCCTGGCTCCCCACTGCACCCGGGGCTCCCCACTGCACTTGGGGCTCCCCACTGCACCTGGGGCTCCCCTCTGTGCCTGGGGCTCCCCACTGAGCCCAGGTGGGAGACAGGGGGACGGCATCCTGCTAACGTGGTGAGACTGTGACACGTCAGCACCACGGATAGCACCAGGGCAGCCTGGTTCCCAGGCCTTGCCCAGGGTGCACCCCATTGCCAGGGGCCAGGGGCCCGCCCCATGGTGCCAGGTGCTCTGCGTGGTCCGGTTTGTCCCCGTGACCTGGGGTGTGACCCCCTTTCTCAGCTGTGCCCAGGAGCCGGCGTGAAAATGCTGCCTTGGACTCCACAGGTAGAGTGATCAGTGGGCGCTGACACGGGTTTCGTGAGCACTGGGCACCCGCCCCTGCCCCCCAGGACCTAGCCCTGGGCATCCTCGGCCCGGGCAGAGATGCGAGGAAGAGGCTGTGTTTCTGACACTGACATTGGCACGAGGCCTCCGTGAGCTCTAACTGAAGCCGGCGCCTGTGTGACCACGAGGCTGGTCCCCCACGGCGCTGCGGGCCCAGGTCACCGGCAGCAGGCTGACCTCGCCACGCGGCTGGCCGGGCGCAGGCAGATGCCGTGTGTGCCCCCGGCCCCCACGCTGCCCGTCGCCAAGCCCTGCCGCCCTACCCACCAGACGCACCACGTGGTCACAGCCCTGCCCACCGAAAGCACAGCATGTGCTCACAGGTGAGGTCCGCCCGGCATTCCTGCTGCATCAGCTTCTCCAGGCACAGGGCCTCCCTGGGGCTCACAGGTGAAGTACACGGCCCCAGTGCCTTGCTGGGCTCCGGAACGCAGCAGTGGGAGCGGTGGGGCAGGCGGGGCGGGCGCGGTCCCAGAAGCCTCACAGACCCAGCCGTTTCCGTGACATGGAGCGTCCATGGTGTGGGGTGACGGCCGCGGGGCCCCCGATCCCGGCCTCGGCCTGGTGCCCTGCTCTTCCCAGCCCGCGGGGCCTCGGGTTTCTCTGCGCCTCTAGTGTGGGCCTGTGGGCTGCCACCCTCCCCACCCGCGCCCTCCCCACGGGTTTGCTTCCAGGCGCCCAGGCCTGCCCCTGGGCCTCCAGGAGGCGCGGTTGCGAGATGTCGTCCGGGGCTGGGGCCCGGGTCTGAGGTCGGCGTGGTGGAGCCTGGACAGCGGTGGTGGGTGTGGCGCGCCTGCCTGTGAGCTCCCAGGAGTCAGGGACAGCATCCCCCACCCGGCCCAGCGGGAGGACGTCCCTGCGCAGGGAGGGAGGGCATGGAGGTGGCCTGGGCCAGGCAAGGGGGCGGGGGTGGGGGGGGCGGTGTCAGTCTGCACTTCACCAGGAATTGAGGGGTGAAAATCAGGGCGGGGCCTGGAAGAGGGGCGCGCTGGACACTGAGCCCCTTGTAGTGCCCAGCACCCCTTAAGATGGGGTCCAGCCAGGAGGTGCCGTGCCCAGGGCAGGCGGTCCTCACAGCTGGTGAGAAGCCAGAAGATCGCTTAGTTAGCACCCGGGGGCGGGGGGGCGGGGAGGGCGTCACAGGGCCCGGTGTTTGCTTAGTTAATTAGCAGCCAGGGCTCAGCGTGAGCAGGTCCCCAGGAGAAGGCCCCTGCTGGCCACCGCCCACACCCGAGGTGTCAGCGGTCAGCGGAGGGGTGGGGGGCAGCGAGGACCAGGAATAGCAGGCTGCCCGTCGCCCTACGGAGCCTGAAATAGCAGCAGCCAGGACGGCGCCCACGTAGCCGCCATCTGCAAACCAGGCACCAGCCCGCGGCCACCTCACCTTTCCCCTGCCTGCGGCCACCTCACCTTTCCCCTGCCCGCGGCCGCCCAGCAGACCCCGAGCACCCCGACGGCCTCTGAGCCCCGATCGCTGTACCGAGAGCGGCAGCCTCCGGCCCTCCCCCGGCCGCGTGTTCATCTGCTTGTTTATTTATGTCTCTCTGTGTATCTCTGCCTGTTCTTAGCACAGCGTGTAATTGCGCGTAATTAGCTGGTGTGAGTCAGGATCTGCAGCCCACGCCTCCAGGGCGGCGCTGGGTGTGGCTGCGGGACGGGGTGCTGTTGGGAGGAGGGGCCCACACTGACCTGTGCTGTTCGCTCACACAGCTCCCCAAGCAGGCCAGGCCTGTGGGGGCCACTGCAGACGCCTCTTGGGGCCTCTTGGGCTGCACCCAGATTCTCCCCCCGACCCCCCCACACCACCCACCTCATCCTGCCCTGGACCAGGCTCTGGGCGGAACTGGGGGTGATACAATGACAAAATGTGGGGGGCAGTCCTGTGCGGTGAGCCACCTGGAGGACGGGGGGCTGCCTGGAGGAGGGGGCTTGAGCTGACGCGGTCGAGTGGATGAGGAAGGGGCTGAGGAGAGTGCGGCTGCACCAGGGCTGTGGCCTCCACCCGCGCCCACCTCTCCTGCTGTCACCGCCACCTCCTTGCCTGTGAGGAGCCACACTGGCAGCCCCCACTTCCTGTGTCCCCAGGTGACCCGTGGGCGGACCCCAGCTGGGGGGGTGACCGAGGGGCGCAGTGCCTCTGCTTTGTTCCCACAGTGCTCCCGGGGCCCAGCACGAGGACAGCACACAGTAGGTGCTTACTGTTGGCTGAGGGACTGGCAGAGCCAGGCAGTGAGGGCGGGCCTCTGGGCGGTGGTCATGCGTGTGAAGGCCAGGGCTGCGGGGCCGCCCCGAGGTCACGGAGGGGCTGGGCGCACACCTCGGGAGGGATGGCTGCACCGGCCCAGCTGGGGGAGGAGCCCCAGGCCTCCACCGGGCGGGCATCCGGCCGCCGGATCGGTGGGTGGCGGCTTGTCTCCAGGCCGGCCACTCAGCCCCGCCTGTGCTCTCTTGCAGGTCAGCTGGCCGCCGGCACCTGTGAGATTGTGACCCTGGACCGGGACAGCAGCCAGCCTCGGAGGACGATCGCCCGGCAGACAGCTCGCTGCGCCTGCAGGAAGGGGCAGATCGCGGGCACCACCAGAGCGCGGCCCGCCTGCGTGGACGGTAAGCGCCCACGGCCCGAGAAGGCCACGGAGGCTGCATGGCGGGCGTCCACCTGGCGCAGCCACGCCCCCAGATGCTCTCTGGGTCAGGCCTGAGGCTGACAGTGTCGCCTGGCATGACTGTCCCTGAGGGCGGCGTTGGCTGGTGCATGTGGGCGGGCGCAGCGGAGGGGCCGGGAGCCGGGTCCCCAGCAGGCTCCCGGGATTGACCAGCCTGCAGGCCGGTGTGCCTCGGTGCGGCCGTGAGCAGGGGGAGCGGAGGTCGTGCCGTCTGCAGGAGGCGCTGCGGTGCCCGAGTGTCCCGCACACGTAGTCGCCAGCTGCTCCGGGCCCCTCCCCGTGGGGTCTGGCAGGCGCGGGCACCCTCACGGGCCCTGAGGACGGGCTGTTGAGCTGGTGCGGTGGCTGCAGGTACCTCCCGCGCTGGTCGAGCTGTCTGGTGGGTGAGGTTAGGGCTTGCGGGTGGCGCGGGCTGTGAAAGAACTCACAACCAAGAGGAGACGGAGAGGAGGCTTATTTTCCTCTTCAAGAGAGCAAGGGTCGGCGCGCGGCTAGTCAGCACGGGGCGGGGGGCTGCTGCTACGCCGCAGGGACGGGAGGAGGGTTTTGTTGCAGTTGAAAATACCGGGGTTCGTCTTGAAAAGCTGCAGCGTGTTTGCTTTCCGGGAGACCACCCGCCGGCGTCCGAGGGAGGGGTCTGGTCAGTATTGTTCTTGAGCCTGTAAATCGGGCTTAGAGCAACGTTACGGGGAGTCCAAGAGAGGCTTGTCTGAAGGGGCGGGGGAAGGGCCCTTTCTACGAACCAGAGACTCCTTGCTGCCAATTATCCCCCGAGTCGTGCAAACAGCAGGGAGGAGGGGGATGCAAGAATGCAGCCTTGAGAGCAGCTCACCTGGTCCTGCGGTTGGAACGGAGGGGCCGTGTGAACCAGAGGAGGTAACAGTCCGGGGGTCACCGCCAGGTGCTCCGCACAAGTGTGGAAGGGCCCCCGCGGGAGAAGGAGCAGCCCTTCCCGTCCTCACAGCCAGACCCGCAGGCTAATCACCCTCCTCACTGAGTGAACACTCACGCTGCCCTCGTGAGGCGGGGCCCCAGGGGTGTCCGTGGAAACGGAGTCACAAATGGGCTTCCAAGGAGGAAGGGAGGTGCCTGCCGCAGCTGTCAGGGCGTCGACGGGGGTCAGTCTGCTGTGGCGGAGGCCGTGCCGGGTACGGGCGCCTCGGTTCCTGGGTGCTGAATGCGGGGCTGGGTGCACACCCAGTGGGAAAAGCACCCGCAGGTGTGTGTGTGGGGGGAGGGTCGTGCATGGGGAGTGATGCGCTGTCACCGTGGGGAAGGCTAGCTGCTGACCCGGGTGGGGTGAGCCGGCCCAGGAGGGGGTCAGCAGGGCCTTGAGGCCATGTTGGGAGTGGAGGCCTATTGGCTCAGGGACTCTTGCTGATGTCACCAATGAGTGAGTCCCAGGACTGTCCAGGGACATGCTGGGCCGTGAGCCGGCCTGGGGCCCGTGGCTGGGACTCTGACGCCTGGCCTCCAGCAGGAAGGGGAGGAGCTGGGCAGGCCCAGGGCTCTTGGCTGCAAGGAGCAGGCCCGGATGCTGCCATCCATCCTGGCGCCCTGTGCTCTCCAGGCAGAGCGGCTGGAGGTCCAGCCCAGTGGGGGCCGCGCCCACAGAGCCAGGACGGCCAGGAGAGTCTGGGGGCCAGGGGGCTCTCGGGGACCCCCCAAACTTCACCTTTGCCTCCCCATGGCCCCCCCGGCCCAGTGCTGCCAGCCCTGAAGGGCGCTTCGGGGACGTGGGGGTCCCTCGGAGGTTGTGGGCAGGGGCTGACCTTGCTGTGGCGGGGGAGGGGGGGCGGGGGGACAGGGGGGTCGTTCTCAGGATCTGGGTCACGTCCCGGCTGCTGGTTCTGTTCTCCTTTTTGGAACCTGTTTCGGGGACATTGTCACGGACACTGAGCGCATCTCAGGTGAACAGTGACGGTTCAGAATCCGTCTCCTCGCCGTGTTCGCACCTCCCGATTCCACCTCCCTCCCGAGTTCACCTCCCCCCCGAGTCCACCTCCCCCCCGAGTCCACCTCCCCCCCGAGTCCACCTCCCCCCGAGTCCACCTCCCCCCCGAGTCCACCTCCCCCCCGAGTCCACCTCCCCCCGAGTCCACCTCCCCCCGAGTCCACCTCCCCCCCGAGTCCACCTCCCCCCGAGTCCACCTCCCCCCCGAGTCCACCTCCCCCCCGAGTCCACCTCCCTCCTGAAATGATGCAGCCCCCTGGAGCTGCTTTTGCTTTTAAGGAAAGGTCGTCTGTCCCTTATGAAAACCCTCCTGTCCGGCTGGTGTGGCTCCGTGGCTGAGCGTCAACCTGTGAACCAGGAGGTCACAGTTCGATTCCCAGTCAGGGCACAGGCCTGGGTTGTGGGCTCCATCCCCAGTGGGGGGCGTGCAGGAGGCAGCCGGTCCGTGATTCTCTCTCGTTGATGTTTCTATCTCACTCTCTCCCTCTTCCTACCTCTCTGACATCAATAAAAATATTTAAAAAATAAGTAAAAAAATGAAAACCCGCCTGCCACTCCTATTGACCAGCACCCCATACAACGTGTGGATTTCACAGCCCTCGGGCAGCTTCCCTGCCACCACCCTCTGGACTCCAGATCCATCCGGCCTCGCCCGCCGGATTCCTGGTCCATTCGGGCCCAGGGCAGGGCCACCTCGGCGCCCAGTGAACTGAACTCTCGCCCCGTCCCGCCCGCATCTCCGGCTCCTGGCGTTGCAACCGGCTCGCGCGTGACGGCGAGTGTGCGTCTCTGAGCTGATTGATTCTTCCTGGGATGGGGGTGGGGGGAGCAAGCACAGGCCCTGAGCCTCTGCCTTCCCTTCCCGGCCTCATTAGCTCCGACAGTCCGCGGGAAGGTGGGGGCCACGGTGGATTACTAATTGAATCGGGGTCTGTTCTTCGTCCGCAAACACGGCCTCGCCCCCTCTCTCTCTCTCCCCGGAGCCTGCCGGCGCCCCAGGCGCGGGCCCCAGAGCCCCAAATTAAAGCCCGCCCGTTTCCCAGGGAGGCCACACAAATTAGCCAGCCTGCGGTTTCTGCTCCGTGGGCATTTTCTAGCTGCCACCTAATTTAATTTCTGCTTTCCTGTGTTCTTGCTCGGTGTGCATAATAAGTTCCCTCGCGTGCGGATCCCGTCTGCGGCAGAGAAGACGTGGCCGCGTCGGGCTGGGCGGGACCTTGTGGGCGCCGGGGTGCGTCGGGGGTTCACGCTGGCCCCGCCGTGTTCAGGGGCGTGTGAGCGTGAAGACGGCCCAGCTGCCCCCGTGCCTGGCTTATCCGTGTAGTGATCACTCGCTGCTCACTCGCTAACTCACTCCTGCACGGATTCAGACGAGGTGCCCACACGTGGGTGCAGGAGCGGTGGCGGGGCTGGCCCCCGAAGTAAGGAAAGCCCGGGGCAGGCAGGCCTTGCCTCTCACCCGCGGCTGCCCCCGGGGCCTCTGAGCACAGTCCCTCCCCCGCTGGCTGGCCCTGGCTCAGCTGCCCGGAGAGGAGGCCACACGCCTGGGCCTTGGATGGACCGCCCCCTCTCCCAGGCCTGGGGGCCCGGTTCCTGGTCCTCAGGCTCCCCCAGCTCGGCAGCGACAAGACCCCGAGCCCCTCGGAGGGGAAAGGCCTGGGCGGGCAGCAGGCACCACGCGTCTGCGGGAAAAGTGTTGGTGCACGTCGGCACTTAGAAGAGTGTGTTTGTGTGTGTGTGTGTTTAGACGTGTGTGTGTATGTTTAGCCATGTGTGTATGTTTAGCCGTGTGTGTATGTTTAGCTGTGTGTGTTTAGCCATGTGTGTGTATATTTAGCCATGTGTGTATATGTTTAGCCGTGTGTGTGTTTAGCCGTGTGTGTGTATATGTTTAGCCGTGTGTGTTTAGCCGTGTGTGTGTTTAGCCGTGTGTGTGTTTAGCCATGTGTGTTTAGCCGTGTGTATGTTTAGCCGTGTGTGTATGTTAGCCGTGTGTGTGTAAGTTTAGCCGTGTGTGTATGTTTAGCCGCATGTGTGTATATGTTTAGCCGTGTGTGTGTTTAGCCGTGTGTGTATGTATAGCCATGTGTGTATGTTTAGCCGTGTGTGTGTATGTTTAGCCATGTGTGTGTTTACCCGTGTGTGTGTTTAGCCGTGTGTGTATGTTTAGCCGTGTGTGTGTATGTTTAGCCATGTGTGTGTTTACCCGTGTGTGTGTTTAGCCGTGTGTGTATGTTTAGCCATGTGTGTGTGTGTGTTTAGCCGTGTGTGTGTGTGTGTGTGTGGCCTCCGGCAGGTCCACTGAGCTCCGTGCGCTGTGGGCAGCGGCGGCGGCAGGACTGTGAGGAGGCCCAGCCCGTGTGGCTTCCGTACCCGGTGTCGCCCGCTCTCTGGTCCGATAGACCCGCCCCCTGGCGCTGCACCCGGCTCGCGGCTGCTGGCGAGAATTGTGGTTAAATGTTCAGAACGCAGCGCCTGGCTGTTAAATGCGGTCACTGCTGAACACGGGGTTGTCTAAACTTGCCCGCAGACGAAATAACGTGGAAACCAAGGCGCTGCCGTAAGGCGCCGGGAGAGAAGAACCGGCTGCAGGCAGACCCGGGAGGAGGGGGGACATAATGAAGCTCCGCGCGGAAACGCATGCGACGGGGCGTCGGACACCCAGGAAGCCAAACGCCGGTTCTTCGGAAGACGGACAGAACGAGCAGGTTTTCAGCCAGGCTGATGGCGAGGGGGAGGGCGGGAGAGACCGAATCACGGAACCGGGCGGAGAGAGGAGGCCCCTCCTTAGTCCTGCGCCCTGCTCTGCAGGAACACAGAGGTTAAAGGGCTCACACCGCCCTGGGCCCGCAGGTGAGAAACTCCGATGAGCCGGACGCGGTCCCGGAAACACACACACTGACTCCAGGAGAAACGGAAAGTCTGAATAGCCCTGTGGCCGGTGAAGACGGTGCGTTAGTAACAGTGGCTTCGCAGCGAGAGAAGCC